TATCGAGAAAAATTGCGAAGCGAAAGTAAGAATTTTCAGACTTTCATTTTACAATATGTGAAATGAACTATTGCCTGGCACCATCAGGCGTGCATGCTAACGGGTGGGTGATCTGTGTATTAATAGACGGCGTTTTACGTAACATAGATGGAAAATATTTTTCAAATTATGATCAAAGTGCTATTGAAACTTATCTAATTGTCAAATCATTTACTCGAGCAATTCGTAATGCCAAAACTGGCTAGACAAAAGAGTCATACACGTCAATTGAATTTGATGATATTAATTTTTCGAATGGATCTATATTAAATGATATCAGTGATCTTTTCACTTTTTGTAAAGAACAAATTAACCCTCGTTTCATCAGCGTACTTATATATATGTCTTTACGGCATCTTGGTCATAGATGGAGAGACGTCGACTCTTTTTTAACATCAATTGGTGGTAGTACTATAAAAACGTGTCACAAATGGACCAATATTTTAGTGAACAAAGATTTTGATGAATTCACAATTGATGAGAGAGGTGGGAAAAGAGGTGATTCGTTTTGGGATTTTTATCCAGATTTAGAATTAAAAGCAAATCAATTTGTTTATCAAGAATGTTCGAAAACAGAAGCAACATTTACCATCGAAATGTTGGTAAGATTTATTGACCAACGTTTTTATGAATTAAATAATCTGAAGAAAATCGATCAACAATTAGTAAGATCAGTTGAAAGTTGTAGATTAGACTTACGTCGATTTAGTGTAAAATTCACAGCAAATTCAAGCCGACCTTACTTTCTTGGACATGAATGAGAAGATGTGGTAAAACTTCGACAAGAATTTGTCAAATACTTTATTGAGCGTGAACAACATTTTTATACAATTGCAAATGATGCTGTGCCACAGTGAAGAATACCAACAACAGCACCAACAATTTTGCTTTGTAAGTGCTTCTTTTTTTTCTTCATTTCAAAACTCGTCTATATGTTCACTGTTGCTTTCCTCTGTTGTAGGCCATAATGAAAGTACATACAAATGTGAAGAAATTACAGCTAAGCGATGGATTATGCCTGATAATGCGCCATTTTACAACAAAGGCAGAGGAAGAACCATAATGTATTCGGATTTATTAGTAATGCATCCAAGTGGACCATTGTTTTCGTTGACCGAAAAAGAGTATTCAGAGACCTTGAAAACATATCCGAATTAAAATGATGATTGTGATATAAATTATGAAAAGAATAGTGCTTCTGCTGCAATCGCCCTCGGTGGCGATAATTATTTTAATAATCAAAGTATTATGGATCAATTTAAACATCTATTTCAATTATTACCATTCAAAAAAGAATATAAAAATCATAACTTCTTATGTCTCGTCGATACTTCAAGAACTCACACAGCAGCTGAAATCCATCTGAATGATTTCGGAATGAGACCCGGAACCCGGTGTCCTGTTGATAAGATCGAATATATTGATGAAAACAACAAAAACAAACTATCGAATGTTATGATGATGATGGATACAGTAAAGGTTTACTGACTATAGCAAATGAATTAAATGTCTTTGTTCCAAGCAAATGTAAACTCAATGATTTAAAATTACTGCTATCGCAACATGCAGCTTTTAAAAGCGTGAGTAAAAATTTATTTTCTTATTCAATATAATAAGTGATTCGCATCTTTGTCTACTCTTTTCAATTGTAGGTCAAGAAACTTGAAAAATTAGCGGCTGAATATAATATCAAAATAATTTTTACACCGAAGTACCATTGCGAAACTAATCTCATTGAAGGATATTCGTGTCACTCAAAACAGTATATAAGAAAACATACAGATCAAATTTTTCAAAAATGAACAACTTTAATGCCTGAAGCAATAGCAAATTTCATTCGAAAGCAGGTTCACCTCAAACTTTTTCGTCGATTTTGGAGAACAATCAAAGCATACGATCAAGGGAAAGATTATCTTGAAGTACTAAAAATTTTTTTTAGTGGATTGTGTAATGATCAAATCACCAGTCGCCGTAAAATCACAAACACTAATCTTGACAATTAATACATATAACTTCGTGTATGCTTAATTTCTTCTATTACCATAATATTTATCTATTCTATTTTTTAGGTTCTTATTCGTGTTTAGCTATTTTTTGTATTGGCATACCAATGAAAGAAAATAAAAAGTGTAAAATAGGACCTAAATCTCAATTTTAACGGAGTACAGCTCAATGAAGTTTCAAAAGTCGGCTCACTACACTCCAGAAGCACTGAAACCATTTCCATTGAATTCTAAATCGTTTTTTACCTATTCAACCGTATTTCTGCGAGTTTTGAATGAGAACATTTCTTTTATAATGAAAAATCACTAGATCGATTTTTCTCATGCTATCATTGTAGACACATTTTCTCAACATAGGAAAATGGTATTAAAAAAATCGAGCCATATTTTTGTAGCTCGTCGAATGGCGCTTCGAATGATGTATGAATAAAAGCTCTATCTCTCAGAGAAAAAAACTAGATAGATTTACAAAATGAACGAGTACAAAGCAGAGTCATATTGAAAGCTCGTCTTTTCAAATTGAATATGCAACATCTGATAAAGCGCTAAATAACATATCTGGACTCATTTTTCTACGAGGAATCAGAAAATCAAATTGGTGAGAAGTGAACGCTGAACAGGAAAAAAAATAAACGTTGTTTCCCAAAAATCAATTTTTTTGCTGATTTTTACACCCTCTCAGTTTGTTGCCGTTTTCTCCATGAAGATTTTCTCGAATTGAAAAAGTAAGTAGATATTCGTAATCAGCTTGAAACACCGAATCTATTGATGTATATTTAAGCAAAAAATAAGAACTGCTGTAATTTTGAATTACGCGCACCTTACAGAACAGAACAATAAATATATATCGCACTGGATTCGAACCAGTATCGCGTTTTCGACACGCTCTTAAGCCACTCAGGTATATGCGAATTATTCTTATTCTGTTCTGTCTCTTACGTTGTGATTATTTTGTTATTCAATCTTAATTTCACCGAGTCGATATTCAAATACAATATCATCAACTATCATCATAAGTCAGGATCTTGTAACTCAGGCAGATGTATCTGAATTGATCATTTTTTTTGTCAATATGATCTTGCCTATCTGTATCAAGAAAAATCGAAATAACGATTATGAGCAATAAATAAATTTTTATTTTCAATGTTGATTATTTTTCCCTTCTCCAGGATAGAGAAATATTTTCGAAAAAGAATAAGTTAAGTTGAATACATTTTTGACTACGGCGAATACAAATAAAAAATAGAATTGTTTCAATAAGATAGGTATAATAGCTGTAAAAGAAATAATACTAAATCAGAATTAAATCAGATGTTTTGTTTTAGTGTTTGTGTTTAAAAGAAGAAATCCGCTTATGTTAAAGCAAAACTTTTCATTTGATTTTCATCTCCGAACGTATATGTATTTATCGATACACGTGATAATACTTCTTTCTTGTTCGCTATCATCGAGCAATATAAGCTTTGATCGAAAGGAAAAATGATTAATGTTCACCTTGAAAAACTCAATGATAGTTTATTTTTAATGTTTGTACATCGTATTAATAAACAGATGTATCTTTTCAAACGAAAATAAAATAAATTACACTCTATCATAGAGAACTGTTTCAGGATTATATCATCATTACTTAAGATGTTCGATTTTTCAATAGTTTTTAGCCCTGACTAGGACCACGACAGTTCCAGCTCGCGAACCAGGTTCAAACGAACCGATGAACTGTTCGCAAAAGTTCAGTTCAGTTCAGTTCAGTTCGAGAGAGCTGTTTGAACAGTTCACCAGTTCGGAACTGTTTTCAAACTGCTATAGTCCTAGTTGATGCAAAAGTCTTCGCCGATTTTTTTAAGAATTACCTGAAGGCATCTAGCACTACTGTGCATTTGCGATTTTCATATATATGATACCGCTTGTGTTGTACTATAAAATGACATTCCGAGGCCGAAAAATCTGACACAAGATCATAGAATACGGGCGAAATCTTACAAGAATCTGACAAAAAATCATAGTTCCTGAGATCTTAGATCAATTCGCACAATCAGATTCTTGAATGATCTTCCACATTAATACGATCTTTGAAGAATCTGATTGTTCGACCTGATTTAAGATCTCAGAAACTATGATTTTTTGTATGATTTTCGTATGATCGTGCATGATCATACAAGATCAGATGCAAGATCTTATCAGATCTTACAATATGATTGTTCGACCTGTGTTAACAAATATACCCAGGGCGAAAAATCAGACAGCAAGATCGGTCACAGATTCTTATCCCATCGTATCGGATCCTACATCATTATCGTATATGATCGTGTATGATCCGACGAAAAATCGTCGTCTCTGAAATCTTACATCAAGAATTACGGTAAGATTCTTGTATGGTCCATCAATAAGATCATATATGACCAGCTAGTATTAGAGAATTAGGATTTTGTTATTTTCTCAAGAAACACAAGGTTGCGTGCTTTGATATATCAGTAAATAGTAATATAAACTTCACTTCACCTGTAAAATTGTATTGTTGAAGGAAATATAGAGTGAAAAAAGCTAGTTTGCACCGGTAAATATGAAACGAAAAAAAAAGAGAAATAACTAATTAACTTAATGACAAAAGGAGGCACGGAAAAAAATGAACAGCAGAAAGAACACTTTGAAGAAGCGAGAAAAACGAGAGAAGCACACTTCTCAACTTTCAT